AAGCTCCCCACAGCGGGGAGCCTGCTTCTCCCTCTGACCCTCCCCCTTCTTGTTTTCTCTAATAAATAAATCAAAAAATTACCATACTGTTCTTACTTTTGTATTTTCACAGTAGATTCATAAAAATGTTGTAATAATGCAGAGTAAACTTAGTTTTCCTCTTAAAAATGAAGAAATCAAGTTATGCTTAAGCGAATTATCTTTAAAGGTCTTTAGGTGGCAACATCTGTCATGTTATGACAAATCAGTATGCCAGAGTGTGCAAACAAAAACACTAATTAAAATTTTTACATTTGTTCAATTAATAGTTTTAGGGGGGCGCCTGGCTGGCTCAGTTGTCGAGCGTCTGCCTTCGGCTCAGGTCATGATCCCGGGGTCCTGGGACTGAGCCCTGCATCGGGCCCCCTGCTCGGCAGGAAGACTGCTTCTCCCTCTCCCACTTCCCCTGCTTGTGTTCCTTCTCTCACTGTCTCTCTCTGTCAAATAAATAAATAAAATCTAAAAAAAAAAAAAAAAACCAATTAACAGTTTTAGAACACAAACTCCTGTACTACGTTTTTTTTTTTTTAATTTTATTTATTTATTTGACAGAGAGAGACACAGCGAGAGAGGGAACACAAGCAGGGGGAGTGGGAGAGGGAGAAGCGATGCGGGGCTCGATCCCAGGACCCTGGGATCATGACCTGAGCCGAAGGCAGACGCTTAACGACTGAGCCACCCAGGCTCCCCTCCTGTACTACATTTCTATGTAGTATCTATGCCATATTTTTATAGTTAACAAACAAGCATTTTGTGTATACCCTAAGTGCATACAACTACAGAGAAAAATAGAAGGACATATCTGCAATATACATAAACTAGACCTGGCACACAATGCGAGCTCAATAACTTTGTTGAAACGTCCTAGTGTGCCACATAATGGTAGACAAAGAATTACAAGTCAAATTCTATTTCTACAAAAAATGGTAAGACGACAATATAATACAATGGTTACAAGAATGGTAATAAGACCACAAGCTTTGGATACAAACTGGGGTTCAAATCTCAAATGTAACACTTCACAGGTGAGTGACCTTGACAAAGTTATTTCACCTAAGTTTATCTCCCTCATCTGTAAAATAGGAACAATACCTACCTCACAAGGTTGTAGTGCTAATTAAATGGAAGTTATAATTTTTATGTAACGTGAATTGCCAAAATCCCAAAAACAGTCCATTTTTTCCAAGTCCTAGACCAAATTAATCCAAATCTCTGGAGGATGAGGCAGAGGCCTGCATATTTTCAAAAGTTTTACAAGTGATTCTGACTAGCATTCTCATTTAGGAATCATTGTCCTAGAGCCTCACTACTAAAGCTTTACCTGAGCCCCCAGGTTAAGTTAACATCATGAAGATAAAAAGAGCATTAAGAAATGATCCTCTGGTTTAGTTCCACGTTTCTAAGACAGACCTTTACCCAAAATTCCTTTTACAGAGAACAGAACCATACTGCAAAATTCCAATTAAAATCCTTTCCAAGGGCGCCTGGCTGGCTTAGTTGGTAGAGCATGCAACTCTTGATCTCAGGGTCATGAGGTCAAGCCCCAAGTTGGGTGTGAAGCCTACTTAAAATAAAAAAATAAAAATCCTTTCCAAAGCCAGGGAAAACAGGATTCCATATTGAAATTTTACATCAAAATTGGGTATACCGTAACCTCTTCATATTCATTATTAAACAGTTCTAATACTGAATTTTTTTTTTAATATTTTACTTATTCATTTGACACAGAGAGAGAGAGAGAGAGAGAGAGCGCGCACAAGCAGGGGGAGCAGGCAGAGGGAGAGAAGCAGGCTCCCTACTGAGTAAGGAGCCCGATGTGGGACTCGATCCCAGGACCCTGGGATCATGACCTGAGCCAAAGGCAGACGCTTAACTGACTGAGCCACCCAGGCGCCCAATACTGAATATTTCTGAGTCACTGTTCATCTACACATCAACAGTAACCCAAGGCTGTATACAATAATATTTAAGCTTTCTTATTTGTGATCATTCTTCAAAATAAGTTTAAGTTTACAGTTAAAATCCACTGACACTTCACTTAAACCCTAATAAATTTTTTATTTGACACATATATTTTCCTTAAGATTTTATTTTTTTTAAATAATCTCTACACCCAATGTGGGGCTCGAACTTACAACCTGGAGATCAAGAGCTGCATGCTCTACCAACTGAGCCAGCCAGGCGCCCCTTGACACGTGATTTTTAAATGTGCATCTCACAAGCAATCTTATTAAAGACTGAAGGTACCTAAAGCAAATTGAATATTCCAGAAACAAACCTGAAACCCTATTAACTAAGTACCCCAATAAAATATTTTAGAGAAATACGTAGAAAACATACAAACAGAATCATGAACATTCCATTTCAAAGAATCAGCATGAAATAATGAAAATCCCTGGAAAAAGTAAGAGTCTAGAAATACTGTAGAACTTGTTAAAAATAAGCAAACAAAAAAAGCTTAGAACAGCTTTATCAGAACTAATATGCCAATAGCAGATCAACTAGAAAGCAAACAAGCAAAAGGAATCTTCCTTAAAAGATTTCAGTGTTACTCGCAGAGAGAACTATAAGGGAAAGAAGGGGCTAAGGCAGACATACAGACCTCATTAATGTATAGATTTTAATTTAGACACAACACGTTTTCTCAGATACTTAAATTAGTGAAGCTTATAAATGACTAATTCATTGTTAACCTGCAAAGTGTTAAAATCCAAGCTATCATACAACAGTGCAAAGGTCATAAGACACTATTATCCAGGGTCTGGTGAGGTATTATTTACTTAGTACAAGACTCAGTGCATGTATAAATGCAATTTTTTATTTTTTATTTTTTTTTTAAGATTTTATTTATTTATTTGACAGAGAGAGACAGCGAGAGAGGGAACACAAGCAGGGGGAGCGGGAGAGGGAGAAGCAGGCCTCCAGCGGAGCAAGGAGCCCGATGCGGGGCTCGATCCCGGGACCCTGGGACCATGACCCGAGCCGAAGGCAGACGCTTAACGACTGAGCCACCCAGGCGCCCCTGCAATTTTTTAAAAATAACTGTCTTACTATCTTCATTCACACAGAATATTAAGTTTGCAACATGGTGTAGTAAAAAGTTGTTTATCAACAGAACTCTATAAATCCCAAATATTTTAAACCAGACTATACACAAGTTAAAAGAAACAATACACAATTCTGATACAAGCTTTCTGAAAGCTATATTTTTTAAAAAAGTCCAACAGTGGGGCACCTGGGTGGCTCAGGTGGTTGAGTGTCTGCCTTTGGCTCGGGTCATGATCCCAGAGTCCTGGATTCAAGTCCTGCATCGGGCTCCTTGCTCAGTGGGGAGTCTGCTTCTCCCTCTCCCTCTGCCCTGCTCATGCTCTCTTTCTCTCTCTCTAATAAATTTTAAAAAATAAAAAAATAGGGCACCTGGGTGGCTCAGTCGTTGGGCGTCTGCCTTTGGCTCAGGTCGTGATCCTAGGGTCCTGAGATGGAGTCCCGCATCAGGCTCCCTGCTCAGTGGGAGGCCTGCTTCTCCCTCTCCCACTCCCCCTGCCTGTGTTCCCTCTCTCGCTGTCTCTCTGTCAAATAAATAAAATCTTAAAAAAATAAAAATAAAATAAATAAAAGTCCAATAGTATATCAAAGCACAATTCTAAAACACTGAATTGACGAACGGGATAATTTATAATTAATTTTTTTGAAGACTTAAGTGTCAAGATATATAAACATCCTTACTTTTTAAAAGTTTAGCTTCACCACCTTTGTAGAATCAAATAAAAGTTTCCTAACTCAAAATTAAACTAAAGTATATATATTTGGGGGGCGCCTGGGTGGCTCAGTCGTTAAGCGACTGCCTTTGGCTCAGGTCATGGTCTCCGCAGGAAGCCCGCTTCTCCCCCTCTCCCACTCCCCGAGCTTGTGTTCCCTCTCTTGCTGTGTCTCTCTTTGTTAAATAAATAAATAAAATCTTTTTAAAAATAAGGTATATATTTGCTTGAAGACACCCTAAGTTAATCCAATCTTCCTTCTTGCAACACTCTTTTCCCAATTACTCACCATAGGCATATATGACATACATATATCAGCGAACACTATTGCTTACGTTCTAAATATATACCAGTGTGAAGAACAGGTGGGACACTATTTGGATGCATGCTCTTGTCTTCTAAGCCTAAATTTGCCCTGGAAAGGGATTTAAAAATAAACACAAATACCCAAGAGTTGAACAATCCTCTTAAAAAGATGTAGCCATTCTGAAATCCAAGATATGAGCTCTTCAACTACCAACACCTTCCAAAAGTTAGGTAAATCAGCTTATCAAAGTTTCACCTTAAAAAGATCAAAGGCCCAATTATGAAGTGTTCTGAGGATATTTAACTTTGCTTCCCCTGAGTCAGTAACGGGAGACAAGTACATTTTACTTAAAGCTAATATTAAATTTTTCCTCAGTCGTTTCATAAATACAGCACAGATACTCTGGTTTAGCCTTTTACGGATAAAGAAAGGGCTGGAAGCCCGGTGAAGGGTACTCTAAAAAGAAAATTTCAATTTAGAGAAGCACTGATGAGTCAGTCGCTTAGGAAGAACTGAAAGAGAACCTAAGTGACTAAGGCAGCATCCCAGGTAAGAAGGTAAAGTTGGCGGTAGGAAATGAAAACTTCACAAGTGAGCAGCAAGACATTATGCTTGGTAGCAGCCCTGGAAAGAAGCGTGGCTGTCAAGGGGCAAGTGCGTACCAACTCCGAGAGAGGTGGCCAAAAATGCCAAATCGGGTGGGGGGGGGGTGATGAGGGAAAACGTAATAAAATGCCCAGCCCAGACCCTCTCCTCTGGCTCTCCATCTCAACAGGCACAATCAAAAGCAGGCTTAATGCCCAATAACCCCACGCCGGACGCTCCCACAGAGAGTTTAGCCCGAAGCCCCGGAGGCCCAGCAGGCCGCCTCCAGAGGAGCCCCCGCAGACGCCATACTAAAAGTCAAAATGGCTGCCCCAAGGAAGCCCGCACCGCGCAGCTACTAAGGGTTGGGGAACAAGCTTCTGCGGGAAAGGGGGAGGGGGGCTCGCGGAAGAGCCGTCGCCAGAACCGCAGGCAAGACTATCGCCCCCAGAGCTGCACAGGTAGGTTCCCCTCGGCCCTCAAGGCCCGGGGCTCCGACAGAGGGGAGTCCCGGCCCCACCCCCCGGCCGGGAACCCCGCCGCCGCAGCTGTCCCGCACACCGACCCCAGCGAGGTACCTGCAGTTCGGCCCGCTCCACCTCCCAGTGCGCCCGCTCCATCTCGAACCGAGCCCACTCATGCTGGATGTAGTGCAGGATCCCCGGGATAGTGTACTGCTGCGGCCGGGACAGCTCCGGGCCTGCTGCGGGACCCGCTCCCTCGGCGGCTGGAGGACCCCCGCCGCCCGCCGCTCCATTCCCCCCTGGCGAAAGGCTCATGTTCCCCCCAGGTCCCTGCTGCTGCCTTGGAGGGGCCGCCATCCCCGGGCCTCCACCACCGCCTCCGGCGAGCTCGTCCATTGTGTGTGGGGCCCCGGCCGGGGCGCAGGGCGAGAAGCCGACGGCTGGGGGAAGGGCCGGGGAGGGTGGCCCCGCGCTGGCGGCGGGGCGAAGGCCGGCAGGGAGAGGGGCGACGAGGGGGTCGTTGCTGTATGCTTGCCGTGGGTCAGAGCAGGGAGCTGCCGGTCGCCGCCATTACAGTCCCTCCTCCATCTGCCCGTCTCACTCACTCACTTTAGGGAAGGGGGGGCCGCGTTGGGAGGGGGGGGAAAGGGGGCAGGGTTGGGAAGGGGATAGACGTAGGGCCGTCACTCCCGCGCAGCATGCCGGGTAGAGAACGCCGCTGCCGCCGCACGCCTAGCAGCCAAATAGAGTGCGGCCTCACCATACGCAGGCGTACTGAGGACTCAGTAAGCGTTCTCGAGGCGGGGTTGGATTTCTGGCCCCGCCCCTAGGCCCTCCTTCCAACTTGCTCCGGGTATCTCGCTGCGGGTACTGGACCGTGGCCCACCGACTCTTAACTTTTGGGAGCCGGTCGGTCTTGTGCTCCCAACAACCAGTTTTCCTTCCTCAGTCACCAACCCCTCGAACGCCGTTCCCCACTCAAGGGTCTCAGCAGCATGCCTCCCTTCTGAGCTGTTTTAACCAAGCTAGGCGCTCCGGCCGGCTGTAGCCGGTCCCGGATTCCTGACGTTTCTTTCGCATTCCTTGCGTGTTTCAGGATGTCCCAGAGGGTCGGGCCTCTTTCTCTGCTTGTCACTCGCTCTTTCGCTGGTTTCTTAGCACGAGTCAACTCCTGAGGCTTTGGGGATGTTCTCTTTTGGCATATTGCCCAGATCCTTCCGCACATTGGTGGCTGATTCCCGGTCTCCGTTTCAAGCCCGGACTTAGGTCCTAATTCTGTGTTCCCCGTTGCCGGTCTCAACTTGTTCCACTTTGCCTCCCCTCTTCTTTACTATTCTGGGGTGGGTTGTTTGGCGGGGCGGGGGGGGGAGCAGTTGGAGCAGAAGTGAATGTTTTCGTTTTTTCTTGGGAAAAGGGAAAGTGAAAAACTTTAGATCTTGACAATGGTGCGAAGAGATAACTTTGAAGGAGACTTGTTAGACTAACAATTCGGTGTTTTAGAACGAATGGGTTCACAAATAGGATTCATAGCAGAATCTTTTGATGGAAACAGAAAATAAAAGCATCGTGAATACAACGTAAAATCCTAGATGAACAGCTGCAAAGATGTTTTCCTGGGTCATTAAATGGTGTTTGAATGAATATAATATACACCTAAAAGACACGTTTAATCTTTTCAGTACCATAGTGTGTGTTTTTATGTGCTTAGGTTGCCAAGAAACATTCTTAATGAACTAGTACGTTTCTAAAGAAAGTTAATATAGCTAATAACCACTTGTTTGAAAAATAGGACAAAAATGTTTAACAATATAATAAGGAAAAAAAGGTTTAGTAATTACAGCCATGCAGGAAAATTGCACATATAATTGATTGCATTAATTTTTTTTCTTCTCTACTACCAATAAAGTTTTCACTATGTGATATACAAGACCACTCAAGGTATAATTTCAAAAAGATAAAAATAGTACATCTTATTTTAACATGTCTGCTTTACTATTATTATGTTTAACGGAGAGCGGATTGGACTTGTTACCCATGCTGCCATATTTTATTTGTATATGAAATGAGATCTTAGGTCACATATTATTAGGAACTGTTTCTCCATATTATTAAGTACTTTTTCCATTTTATTTTTTTTTAAGATTTTTATTTATTTATTTGACAGAGAGAGAGACACAGACAGCAAGAGAGGGAACAGAGGCAGGGGCAGTGGGAGAGGGAGAAGCAGGCTTCCTGCGGAGCAGGGAGCCAGATGTGGGGCTCGATCCCAGGACTCTGGGATCATGACTTGAGCCGAAGGCAGACGCTTAACGACTGAGCCACCCAGGTGCCCCCTATTTTTCCATTTTATACTGACCAACATACAGCCTGCTTTAAACCTTTTTAAGGGGCCTCATAGCACATAAAAAGTTCCAAAATATGTCTCCAAGAAACATGTTTGAGCAGGTGTAATTGATCTCTGTTATGTTGGTATCAAAAGAAGAAGAACATGTGTACTTATATTTCCCACTGGTACCTCAAGCTCAAGTAAAACTAGATTGATAATCCTTCTATTTTCCTCCCCACCCACCTTCAAAAAAACACTCTGTTTCTCTTCTATTACCTATCTTATTAAGCGGCACTACATCCAAACCTGAGAGCTGGCAGTCATTGTAGTACCTGCCTTTCACTCACCCCCACATCCAATCCCTTTCTCAGTACATATTTCATTTCTATTCCTTATCTATATCATATCTATTCCATTATCTTTATTGTTGTGTTAGTTTAAACCTTCCCACCTTACTTGTTCCCCCACCTGCTGCTACCACTGATGCCAGAGTGATCTTCAAAAGGCAGATCTGATTCTATTGTTCCTTGCTTAAAATATTTTAGTGATGGGAGGCCTGGGTGGCCCAGTCAGTTAAGCATTCAACTCTTGGTTTGGGCTCAGGTCATGATCTCAGGGTCGTGAGATTTAGCCCATGTGGAGCTCTGCACACTGTACGGAGTCTGCTGGAGATTGTCTCTCCGTCTGCGCCTCCCCCTGTGTGTTCTCTCTCCCTCTCTCTAATAAATTAATCTTTAAAAAAATATTTTGGTGATCACCAGATTTAGAATAAAGCCCCAATTTTAGCCTAGCATATAAAGATCCTTCACATTCTAGATCCTCCCTATCGCCTAGTCTTCCATCACACCAATATGGCATCCATTCTTCTCTCCAGGCAAGCTGCACTGATTTTGGTTCCTCAAGAGCATAATGCTGTTTCATTTCATGAGAATTTAACACATGCTCTACCCCATTGGCTTTCCTTCCCTTCTTCATTCAAAACTCAGTTTGAGTATTCTCTGCCTTCGACTCGGGTCATGATCCCAGGGTCTTGGGATCAAGCCCTACATCAGGCTCCCTGCTCAGTGAGGAGCCTGCTTTTCCCTCTCCTTCTGCCTCTCTCTCTCTCTCAAATAAATAAAATCTTTAAAAAAAAATTTGAACTATTCCCTATTTGAAGAATTCCATTTGAGCATGTCTGCACTCACTTTCACCATGGTTTTATAAATGCCAGTAATGCAATCCTTGGCCATGTTCTTCACAGATCACAGCCATGTATCTGCAGCCTTGCAGCCTTTTAGAGAGGTAGGACCCATACCCCTCTTATTTGCAACTGTACCCCCAGTGTCTGTTATAGTGCAGTCTCTACAAAATGATGAATAACTGAAATTTAGACTAGAATAATAGGTATATTTTTTCTTCACCTCAATTTTTTGTAGTATTAGTTTTTGCTGCCATTATACCAGCCATTTCAAGGTTCAGTGACCGAAACCGCCCTGAGTTCTTTTTTTATTTTGTTTTTGTTTTTTATAATTGACTTTTTACCCTAAGTATTAAAAGAGAAAGATGCCAAGATTTTCTCCTCTGTGAGAATATTTTTTACATTATTGTCATTGTACTTTGTGTCCATGACTCCTGAGGACACTCTGCAGTGAGCTCCTAGAATCTTGTCCTTTGTATGTAATGAGCTTTCCCAGGTAGTATTATCACCTACAACTCACCTAACTGGAACTCCCTCCTGGAACCGTGGCTGAGTCATTTCCTCTCTTCGGTTTACCTTTGAAACTTCCTGTTTGTTGTATCTTTTCATCAGTCCTGTTCATCGCCCCTCCTCTCCCATTGATTCTCTTCGTTTCAGTATACTGCTGATGATCTTCAAGAGTACCTGTTCACATTAAATATAAATTTAGAATTTTAGGGTTTTTTTCCCTTTCCTGTTAGCTAACCTTAGACACCTGTGTGCTTATTCTATCTGACCAAAAAGGGATTTGTCATATTTGATGTTAGTATGTTATATCAGTAGAGGTATGTTAAAGAATTCCAGGCTTTTAACTAAGTCAGGAGTAGTTAACACTAAGATGTCTTCTTCCCAGTTATTGCAATACCTGATGTACAAAGAGTTTTGACCCTGCCTTTGAGAACTGAATCACTCCCTGTAATTACTCACCTGAACATCCAGTTTTACACCTTGCTGACTATAAACCTGACATCATTCTAACAAAGAGCTCAAACTGGTTCACAAACACTGATCTAGTCATCTTTTTGCATCATGTGGAAAGGTTGCAACAGGTACAATTATCTTCATGGGGAGCTGAGGAAGCTGAGATTAAGAGTTCTGGGTCACCCCCTCAGGCCCTTAGTAAAATAGGAAGTGGGTCCTACTCGTATCAGTGAGTGTATATGTTTATTTGGAAACACAGTCTCCCTTCACTATTCTTCCTCCTACTATCCTATCAGTGGCTCAATATCACTATCTCTGGTTCATTTGCACTTTTGAAATCATTTTTAGGCGATTTGGGGGTGATTTAGTCACTTGGGGAAATTTTGTAGTGTTTATGTAGTGTTTACATTTATAAATATAGAGAACAAAGGAGGAAGATCTTTGAGAAGCCCTGGCAAGACAGCCAAAGGAGCGAACCGTGTAATGTAGATAGAACAGAAAAGGAGACAGCCTTGCCCTACACCATGGTTTAACCTGCCAACTAAGATCGGATCTCTACTTCTCATTACAGCAGTTGCCTGTGGCTAAGAAAATTGTAGAAATACATGCAGGGCACTTGAACTATTCAAATAATATGTTGTGTGGGAAAGAAAAGGCAAAGGACCTTCAAAGGTTATAGAAAAATAGGTACCAAAATCTTTAGGAAACTCAGCATGGTATATAAAATTCTAGTCCAAGTTCATTCCTGAATTGTCTTCTGGGTAATATGAGTCAGAAAGCAGTATGCTTTGATAATATTGTATAATAGCTAACTCACAAAGATGTCACAATTGAAGGGGAAAAAAATTGCCTGAAGCAGAGTCCCTCCTGGACATTGGCCAAAAGTGAACAACCAGGTCCATAAATATGAGAACCAAATGACTGGAAAAT